TAAGAAGTAAAGACCAATTCAATTGCAGCACATGTGGGGAGTTTGTACAAGAAATTCAATTCCCAAAGTCAAAATCATACAAAATATCAAAATTAATTCAGAAAACGTTTCTACAATATCTAATGGTAAAACGAATTGCACGAGTTGAAAGCTCTGTTTATATCTGCACTGTGGTTATTACCAATGATCGTTAGAACTTTATTATTTTAGCGCTCTAGAATTTTATTTCGAATGGTACAAATAGTTTCAATGTGAATTTCTTTGGCATAGCTTTATAATAATTATATAACGTAAAACCAGACTTACTTGAAATGTCGAAACTTTATTGTAAATGACTGAATCTACGCCAGCTGAACTTATACTGTAAGTTCGCCAACATAACGTAAAATAATTATTTAACAATTTATGTATAACACTTAATTTTTATCAAATTTTTTATTAACATTAAAAATATTTAAATTTAAGACCCTTTCGAACCAAATAAAATCGAAGAACATGGTAAAATACATGTAACCAAATATTTAAATAGCTAGTTTTTTTTGTTAAAAATTATAGGTTAATAAAGTTATGCCTGTAATCTTCACAACTTTTTTAACTGCATTTTTTTGTTTTTTATTTTTATACATAAGCATAAACAAAACAGTATTGTGTTTAAATATATTGAGATAAAACAAAGATAGTGAAAAGATAAAGTTGATCATGTCAACTCTGTGATTCCTGATAACATTTTAGTAGAATGTTAGCCCTGTTATAAGATTTGTGTTGGTCATTAAAATTTCTTAGTTATAAGTAAATTTTTTTTGTATTTCCTCGATACAAGTGCGTTTGCAACTGCAACTCTATTATATCAAACTCGTTTCATATATAACAATACAATTTTTAAATTTGTATGTAATGCGTTGTAAGAACTTTTATAATTACGACCAAATATTATTCGAATAGTATGGACCTTTTACTTGAATTTTTTACGTTCAATTTGAATAATGAAGGCACTATATCTTTTTAGATATGATCAAATAAATTTTGTACATTGTATGGCAGTCATCGTAAGATCTCATTATATCAAACATGGTTCTTACGTACCTTAATTAAGGTATTTGTAAAAACTTTGGTTGGCTCAATGCAACGGACAGACAAACGCCGGATAGAACTAAATCGAATAAGTATTTTTGCCTGTATTTCCTTTTCTATTCCTTAAAGCTACAAACGGAGTGTTATTATTATAAAATCATTCGAACATTCATTTGTGTTTATATAAAAATTCTTTTATTCTTTTGCTATTCCATAATGATTATTCAATAACTTAACTCTATACGATCTACTAATGTTTAGTTTGAAGTCATATGTAAAAAAATAATTTATTTCTGATAAGCATACATTATTAAAATTTTGAAGCTCAACTTTAATCACTTTTACTCTAGGCCAGTTTTAGCAATACTACTTTACAATTAAACAGTTAAAAAATTCTTGAATTCAAATTGTTAAATCGCTTGGAGAAACTATTTTTTTTTTCTGTGCCATAAAATCAAACATTGAAAGCAAATTAAGCTTGATTTTTATACATTTACCAAAATAACCAAATGTCACTTAATTAACCAGTTCACAAAATAAAATGTTATATTGAAGACTAATGAGACATCTAAGTTTACTAAGAATCATTTCAATTAGATTGCTCCGATGTTCCTTTGTATAATATCACAATTGTTTCGTTATTAGCTACTTCTCAGTAACATAAAATTATTTACGCCTTATTTTATGCAATTTTAAATAAATTGCAATTAGCATAAACATTTGGTTTAGTTATGTATGAGAGCAAAATTTTTTGACTTTAAAAAAACTATTGAACAATAAAATAGTTCCCTGGTATCATTCCAAAATTTACTATTCAAACTGCTGAAGAGTTAAAATATTTAGTTTTTTATTTTACTGATATTTTATGCGAAATAAATGTTTGAATTTAATTATTTTTTGGTTGTTTTTTATTGCCTATTATGTTTTGTGCATATAGTACAGATTTTATATGTATATGAACTTTAATAATGTAAGGTACTTAAAAATAATATGAGATGAAAATATAAGGCAATAGAATAAATGTAGGCACCATTTTAGTTTTCGTATTTTTTTTTTTTGCTTTTGAATAATATCAGAATATTGTTGCAAGTCTATGTTTATTTTATTACTATTTTTTTTTTCAAAAAAGCTACTACTGCTGTATTTTGATTTAGAATTGTGATCAAACTATAACTTATGATTCTTAAAAATAAAAAACATTGAATTTGATTTATATTTTAGTATTTTGAATTAATATACAAAAAAAAAACAACAGAAATATAGGTATTTTTATTCAAACAGATTTTAGCATAAATGTTATTATTTTACTGTTTATAAAATAATCTACAAAACAATATTTTGTTATAATAATAATAAAGACAACAACCAGCACAGCGGCAATAGTAATATTATAGCAATAGTTGCCTATCATACCAATAGAATTGTATTGTTACATAAATATTATTATTGGATATATTGAGAGAATATGAAATATTTATGCTAATTTTCTTTTATATCATTTTTGTTGCAGTATAAATTTTTGTTTTGTATGAACTACACACATATGTATGTACATATATTATAACAAAATACTATTTATGTACAAACATTATTTTATTGTTTCCTTATACTGAAACGCAATTTAAAAATAAGATCTATTTTATGGTAAAATTATTCAAATTAAAATATATATATTTGTGTGTACAATATGTATAGAACATAAAAATAGGCTGGGCGGTTTATAATGCATAATCGCAAAATATTGTTTTTTATTTTTTTTTCTTTAAATTCTCTTGTTTTTTCTTAAATTTTTTCAAAAAAAAAAATTATTTTTATATTATAAACATAAATTGGAAAATAACAATCCCATGGGCAGTATAATTTTATGTCCATATATGAAAAATATTTTATGCATAAGGAATAAAAATAATATTTTACTAATAAATATATAGGGTAAGTGTATAAACTTATTGTTCTTTACAAAATCATAAATTTTTTGGTTCCTCGACTTAAACAATTTTTCGGTTTAGTGATGAAATATTACCATTTTGCTTTGAAGATCATAAAACTCTTATAGCGCAGTAAGTTTTAAAAATTTCTTATTCATTAAAATGTTGAAAAAATTATGAAAATTTTTAAACCAAATATTAAATCATTAATTCGACAATTTGAATTGTTAAAACTATTTTATCACCTCAGTTGCAATTATAAATGAAAATTATAATTATAAAATTATTGCAATTGTTTTCCAAATACGAGAAATTTTAGATATATAATTTTATTTATAGATTGACAACATTGGTTCCTATAGGAATATATTTGGGAATTATGTTTAGCTTTCAAAGACTATTAAATTTTGTCACGTATTAACAGTATATCTATACATTTTTTTGATATGAATATTTTTTAAACAATGTGAAATTTAGAAATTGAAAGCAATATTCCATTACAAGGAACATAGACGTTCGTATGGTACTAAACATACTTTAACATACCTAACTCTAAAGTTCTACTCAAAGAATGTGTCATTTAAATAGTGCTTATTTTTAAAATTGTTCATTTTAGTAAAATTCATTCTAATTCTGCTAATAATTTTTAAAGATTTCCATATTAAACTGTTGACTGAAACGGGACTTTTCTCAAACCCGTGTACTATGGCATATGCTTGCGATTTATTTCAACGTTTTAAATTGTTTTATACATTCACTACTTGTAAGTATTAATTATATGTTCAATTTCGTTAAAACAAAATCTTTTCTTAAGCATGCCTTTAAAAAAATGAATTCATCTATCAAAATTACCAAATTTTGCAGTCAATCAAAACCTATAATAACTATTCTTGTAATGTGCTAAATAACTGTTCTTGTAATAGTGCTTAATAACGATAATTTTTAATTACAAACTTTCACAGAGCCCTCACTCAACGAGCAATTTTGTTTTTCCTTTTGTTGGCTAGTTAATAATATTGGAGAATTGATATTTCCATAATGGAACTGTAACTTGTACTCCTATAGTGAATTTGGTCATCTTATTAACCTCAGCAAGAATATTATTATAATTCCCTTCTCTTACATTTCTCTATATAAAGCTATTGTTCTTTGAAATGGTATCTGAAAAAAATTTTCTCCGAGTTTCCAGTGTCTTATTAGCCATTAGAATTCTCACCAACTTCTGCTTCATCCTTAATATTTTACGCATCTAAAGTCGGTATTAGTAACTCATCTCACATACACAACTTTTCATTCATTGTGACACTTAAAATTATTTTAAACTTTTTATTTCATTGTACCAAAGTATTAAAATATTTTATTTATAAAATCTGAAATTATTCGCGAGTGCAATTCAATTTGAAATTAAATTAGTATAATATATCTTTCATTCTGTATATTGCGACAACTTGCATCCTATATACATTACGAAACACTATAAAAACTAACAAAACACTAACAAATCTTTAAATGTTATATAGGATATAAGCATTTGCAACATTAAATTCACTGCTCTGCATTTCCGTTAAAAATTCCGTAAAAAAGAAATAATTTAGATTCACTTCGCTATCATTTCATTCAAACTATGTACCCATTCGTATGTGATGATCAATTCAAAATGTATAGAATGTGTAGGTTTTAATTGATTGGATCGCAATATTAAACTAATTTATTTACGTAAATTTGATTAATTTTGTTAATTGGTGCGTAGGAAAATAGCGTGTGCTAAACTAAAATTAATATTATTATCGAAAATAAATTAAATGCCATATATTTAACACGCCTTCATTCGCTATTTTAACAAATTATTATAAAATATTCGATTGAATCTCTTGCATACATTTAAATTCAAATTTGTTGTTTTTTTATTTAAATTTCTTTAAATTAAAAGTTTAATTATAAAATAATTACCACAATTAATTGATATATTTATTTTTTTCTCTCTCTCTTTCTTTCTTTCAGGTGAGTCTAATATTTTGAAAATGATTTCAATTTCAGCAAAAAATGGTACAATAATTTTAACTGTAAGTTTATTTTTTAAAATTTATTTTAAAATCTTAAGTTTATTATTAAAATTAACACTAAATTGGAAAATTTTATAAAATAGTTTGTTTATAAAATAGAAGAGCAAAACATTTTCAATTATAATCATTATTGTAGGCAATGTTATTTACGATTTAAGTCATTGTCATAATAGTCATATGAGAGTCATTTATTATAAATAAAATTGTACATTCGAAATGCATCTATACTAATTACCTGTGATAATTGCATAATAATCAATTTCTCAATATTAAAGGAAAATGCAAAATAAAAAAGAAAATGTGTAATAAAAGGAAATGTAAATGAGAGAACGAAATTTGATACAGGCAACTATAAGAAAACGCCATTTAATTTTGCGGTTTTCTTTAATAAAACTGTTATACAAAAATTTGTATTTAAATTTATATGAAAAACGGATATCTCATATAGCTTGACTTTATTACTAATATAGGATTTCTAGTCTAGTATAACATTCAAGGATTAAGTCTAGGAGAATTATTAAAAATATTACGTAAAAGTAATGAAGACTTTTGTTTTAAATTTTGCATTATTCTTAAATAATCTAATGAGCGTCCTAATAAATATAATTTCTGCAGTGTAATCAAATCTAATTATATGTAAAAGTCATGGTGCATGCATATGATTATAACATAACATGCATAAATCAAGCAGCCAATTAAGCTGAATTTTGACATTCCGCTTTTTTTATAGAACAGTAGCAATATAATTTTGAGGTTGATCGCGACGTATCGGGTTTAGTGTGTTCTACAATTTTTGTTCGGACATTATTATTATTCTCAAGATAGATTGGGAAGATATTACATCATTATCAGCGGGATAATATTTATAAGTATTCTGCGCGGTAGTTCTTCTGTCATTTCGCGGCAGTAAAATAAAAAAATACAATATTTAAGCTACCATACATTGTTTTTATTGTGATTTTGGAATTCCGAAGAACTACAAATGAAGAAAGACAAAATTATTATTTGGTCTTTATTAGTATAGCTTACAGAACCTACACATATAATAGTATTTGTATTAGAACACTGGCAATCCTTATTATCTGGTAAAGACTCTTTCCCTTAATAGTTATTTAAAAATATTTTGAATGACAGTTTAAATTTCCGTTTCCGGACACATATTTGCTGAACTGAAAAGTCTGTAACCTCGCAATATTAATTATCAACTATAAGACAGTTAAAGAAAGAAGATAGATTTAATTTTTTAAGAAAAGTAGAATTTTCAAGCACATTATAAACGGGTGATCGAATATTTTATAAACTACTAACCATTAATTCTGTCAGTGTCGGAACAGTAAAGTTATAAAAAAATTAAACGTTAAATAGCACAAGCATTACAAAACAGAGGCAAAATATAATTTTTTTAGCTTTACCATAAGCGAAAAATCACAAAAAAAAAAACAACCAATTAAGAATGCAATTGCGCGCATTTATTATTCATCTAAAGCATCAATAAAATGAACGAACAAAAAAAAAAGAATTTTTTTTTTTCAGTAATGGACGCGTGTGAATTCACATTACCTGTTCAGTGTTTAAATAATAATTGCGCAATACGATTGTGATAACTATAATTGCGGCAGGGGAATTCGAATTGTTTATTTTTTTCTTCTTCTTTTTTTTTTATTACTATCTTCGTTATTTTCATTTTTGTTTGCTTTATTTTCATATAAACCTGTAATTAATTAATTTTAACAGATGCGTAGAGAATATTTTATTCGCTTACATGTCCTATGTATGTATGTGTGTAATAAAATTTGTAATCATGCAATTTAGCATACACATAAAAGGTATATATGTAAAATTTTTATTAAATCATCTCATTTACTTAATTTGCAATGTTATATATTATATATACAAATATGTTCATATACGTATGTAGTTCTTAGTAAATGCATATATTATATACCTTATATAAATATGAATATAATTTGTATTTAAATAATATCAGCTAATTTATGTGCTTCTTCAGTTATATAAAATTCAACAAAATTAAGTGTTGTGTGTTATGTCATTCATTTCAATTCAATTAAAGAAATTTTATTCGCATATTGGGAAGAATAACGACACAACTGAAAAATATAACTGCGACTTCCGGAATTTAAAGTATTTATAACCGAGTTTAAATTTCTATCGAAATATTTATCGAAAAATGTTGGTATAGAACAAATTTCAGAAATATTTTGTTACAGGAAAGCTTTATATATTAAATTTTGATAGTAATAAAAGCAAGTTTGCGATTCTGCATTTTGACTTATGTCATTGTTCTTGCAAATGTGCAAAATGTAACTTTCATTATATTGTACAAATTTAAGCATTTGAACTTTAGGAGCTTAGTACATATTTTTTTTTCGGTCAAAACTAACTCTAAGATGATAAATTAAATTGCGAAATTTTAGATATCTATTTCTTTTACTTGAATAATATCGAATACTTAAATAAAATATTAAAATTTCTTGTTATACAGAACTTTTGCCGTACAAAAAAATCTTTCGAAACATCTCGTTCTATAGATTAATTTAAATATTTTGTGGGAATCAATTCCCAGAAACTTCTTCTTTTGCCTGAAAATATGCAAAAAAATTTGAACCGATAATTTTGTTTCAATTTTATTTTAAATAATTTTTTTTCACAAAATATCTTATAAGTGTTTGGAACAAATGTAGTTTTTTTCTCTCTATTCATTCTTTCCTTCACACATACCTAATTAGTACTTTTACATACCTTGAATTCTTTATTCTATCTTTCTTGTATCTTTTTTTTTATTGTTAATGTCACTGCAGACAGAATTCTATTTTTTGATTAATTGTCTTAAATAATCTTTTTAATATATGAAAAAAAAAGTAGAATGATTGCATTAGATATGAGCTAAACGCATCGCTGTATGTGAATGAGTTTTATATGCATTTTTTTTTTCTTATTTTTGTATAGTAAAACTGCTATTTAATTATAAAAATAGTTGATATGTAAAATTTATCTTTAAACCCATTGTACAAACGTAAAATTATTATTGTTTTAAAGGAATTGTTACTATGATTGTTTGCAATTATCATTATTAAAATAATAATTAAAATAAGTTATTATTATTGTTATAATGCGAGTATAAAGAGAGAGAGAAAAAAAAATTCAGAATAACTCATTCTCTTTGATATTTTTTTTTGTTGTTGTTCTTCGGTTTTTTTTTTCTCATTGTCTATAAATTATGTTGGTTTTTTTTTATTATATAAGGTACAAACCTTTTATCTACTTTATTTTTTTAACATAATTAATATACATAACTTATATTATTATATTAATTATTATAACATTAAGTTTTAATGACACATAAAAACAATTAATATTCAGCATATATACACTATATACACTAATATACATTGAAACATACATACCTGTTACGAGTACAATAATTATGTTGAATGCGTGAAAAAATATTTTATATCATGACACATTATGGAGATGAAAATGAATTGTTTGCAATAAATTAAAAAGTAAATTAGAAATGCATAAAAAGCAGAACAAGCAAAAGAATTTTATATTATTCTTATATATGTAGCATTAAATTACAGGTGAACATTGTATATACAAAAATATTTAATAAAAATATTGTTTTTTTTTTTGAAAACACAATGTTCTTGATTCTGATTTTGTTTTTTAACTGATCAATTCAATGAGAAAATAAAAATTGGAGAAATAGATATTAGTTGTATATCAAGTATTTTAGAAAACTTCTCTGTGAAAGATTATAGGTAAAATTGAAAAAAGAAACAAAATCTAACAAGGAAAAGAAAATTGACATTGCATGCAACAATATCGATTCAATTTAATAATTCGATTATTCTGTATTAGTACGTTGTGTACATATAAAAATGACATGCTCACATTAGTTTTATATTATAATAAAAAGGAATAAATTTAATTTTTTCAAGGACGATACGCAGCTTGAATGACATTTGAACAAGATTTCCTATTTTAATTTAACATTAATAAAATTTAAAATTTAAATTTATTTTTGTTTATATTATGAAACTCGCAGTGGAATTAATTTTTCAAGAAAATTTATAATCTAGTTTTAGAATAAACATTTATATTATGAATAATTAATAATAATAAAAACAAAAAATAAAATATTATGCAGATAAGTTCAAAATAAAGGTGTTAAAGCTAACGAAAATTATGATAATTTAAAAAACAACAGATTAAGCACTCAGATCCGATTGCTTTAATTTTATGCTATTATTTCTTAAGGAAATATCAAAAAATTTTGACTTTAAAAATTTTAGAAATATTTGTGACCCATGTCCAAATATCTGGTAAACAAATTTACTTAGTGGTTTCAGCCTAATTTTTTACACTCCGTTTATACAACAAATATTGGGCGCAAAACCTATTTTCAATTTGAAAATTTTTTCCTAACAAGGTTTTTCAGGAAGGAGGGCTAAGAAAATATTTCTTTTACCAACAATCAATTAATTCAAAACACAACATATCTCAAAGTCGAAAAACTATAAAAGATAACCTGAGAATGAGAATGAAAAAATGAAAAATTTATTTCAGAATGTCATCGCTACAAAAAAAACATGAATTATACGAAGTTTTATTTTGAATTCCGTGGTGAATTGAGCTTTCATTAGATATTGCCATTTATACCCTACAGTTGTGTTCCGATTATATTAATTTTTTCACTTTAATGGGTCGGTTTATTTTAATTTATAATTTTTTTAATGAAATTGAAAAAAAATGCATCCCAAATGCTAATAAAAATCAGCTGATGCATTGATAATTGCATATTATAATTATAAATATAACCGCGCACTGTTTGGACAATTTACGGGCTGTAAAAAAAGAAGAAAAATATATTAAATTTTTGGCAAAAAACATAAAACAGGAAAAAATGCAAATGTGCATTTTCCATTATTATTAACTCATCAAAATAAAGTTAAATAATGGCAGACTTTTAAAAGACAAAAAAAAAGAGCAAGAGAAATTTTTATTTTTCTTTTTACTTCAATTAATTTTCTTAGCATATTGCCTGAACAACAATAATAGCAGCCGAGACCGGTACAAAATGTTTAAGATGAAATATTACATCTCATTAAAGATATTTAAATCAAGTGATTACAGTATAGCCCATCTGTTAATATCTTTCTGTTTTAGGCTATATTAGTCTATATTATTGTAATAAAAATTGTAACTGGTATAATAATAATAACAAGTTTTCGTCTTAAAATGAAAATAAAACTAAAAAATTTCGATTTTGGAACGTGCTTAAATATTTTGCTTCAGTTTTTATTTTCTGCTTATTTTGAAAGTAATCAACTCATACCCGTCAATTATTTAGAGTGAAATGGTACGGTACTTAATGATATTTATAGGTAAATAAATGTACATTGAATTATCACAATTTTTTTAACGGCAAGACAAGCCCATAAACGTATTCCATTGACTTCGATTCTCAAACCTGAAAATCGTGCATGCTTACAATTTTTGGAAATTTTTATTCTTGTTACATTATTAAATTTTATAGTTTACTCTGTTCAACTCTGCCCTGCAGCACAGTAAGCAAATTAAGCGAATTAACTTAAGCTAACCTGTATAATTCTATTTTCTGAATTGACAATACATGTTTCAATATCTATTTTATGTATTTATTAACTTCTCTAAAAAATACTATTAGCTCAGAAAGAGTTAAATAGTCTTATAGTTCATAATGTTTTCATTAAAATTTACACTCTATTAGTTAGTTAATGAACTTATCTAGAAAATTAGATATAAAAATTGTGCAACTCTTAACAAAAAAATAAATCATATAGCAGTAAGAACGCTTTTACAAATCATTAAAAATTTAACAAAATATGAAATGTAAAATTTATTTTGTTCTTAATTATGCCCTTTGGGCGACAAGTTTTCAAAACTATTATCTTTTAAGGCTCTCATTTATTTGAAAACTCTAAAAATTAAACGAAATTTATAGGTATTTACATGCAGCATAACCTTTATGTAATATAAAATGCCATTTTATCCTACATTCTATAATATTTTGTGTAAATATGGAAACATAAAAATTTACCATAGAGCGATTCTAATAATGTTTTTATTCTGTTCATTACCGGAGTCATAACAATTCTATTCAAAATATACCATATTATAAATTATTAACTTAATAATATTATTATGTACTGGTTTATATACACACGGTATATATTGTACTCTGCATAAGCTATATTATAACTATACAAAATTTTATAAAAACATCTCTATATTAAAAATCTTCAGGTGAACCTATATAGTATTGAACCTATATACCTATATAATATTGAACATGTTTTGAGATTATTCAACTTGGTCCAACATTAAAATACCTAAAAAAAAAGTAACGATTCTATTCTAAAATTAAAAATCTCATATAATAATGCACTCTACATAATCTTCTACATAAAATATAGAGATTTTCCGCATCATCAGTAAACGCAAAAATTTACTAAACAATTTACAAAAAAAAAAAAAAAAAAAAAAATTCATTTAGAATTTTTTTGTTTTTTTTTTAAGTACACTTTGATTTATGGTACCAGTATTATTTTTTGTACCTTAATGTCAATGGACTATATAAGAAATTCACTTCTTTATAATAAAATGAATAGATTTTATGGTTTATTTAATGACTCTTTAACTTTTGTTACAATTTTTACCTTTAGCCGTAGTAGATTTTATATTTTTATTTGCTCTTTACTTTTGTTATTAATGCCAGAAACTGATGCCTTATATACAATGCTAAGGGAAACAAAAAAAAAGTGTGAACCCATTCATTAAATACAAATTTTTTTTTTAAATTTAGTGCATACACACATTCGCATGCACATAAACTCATCTTCATCGAGTTACGTACACAAAATTTTTCTATTCTACAAAATATGCAACAATCTTTCGCATTTACGGTATACCAAAAAAAAACTAAATCATTCTTTACTTCTGTTACAAATTTAACAAAATGCTTTTTTTCTTTTGCTCCCGGAACGTTGAAACAACTAAAACAAAACTTTAACTTTTTGTATTTTAAATGAAACAGCGATGCTTTGTTTTTTTTTATTTGTTCTTATATTTAAATTCCATGTATATTCTAGCAGCTCTATAGTCAGGTCAACATTATTTAATATGTAGGTCCAACTTATATGAGGAAAAAAAAACCCATTCTAAAATAGTAAAACAAAAAATGGTACACAATAATAACAAAATAGACGTACCATATAGACGCGCGATAATCAACAATGTAATTTTTATGCTCAATACAGGAAGAAATCATTTTTCTAAACAATTTACCTTCCACATATAATATAATATAATAAAAATATTGTGTGTGTGCTATCACTTCAGTAAAATCATATAGCACATATGCTAGGGTACACAAATTATGTTGGTTAAAGATTGCGTTTAGGCAATTGCAATACAATAATAATGGCATCAAAATATGTGAA